GGATATGCATTGAATGGATTGTTACGGTAGGCCCTCACATGGCATAGATTTGGTAAATCTAGAGGAGACTCTACAGAGATTATACCATCGGACATTAGGGTCAAAGTTTAAGGCAGTGAATAATCAATTTGCTGATAAATTTGGATTTTCTGCCACCATATCTTTCATTGCGCTTATAAAGAATGTTCCATCCAAAGAACATTGTCCACTGTTTAATGGACCCATCAACATTCACTACATTGGCAACATTTGAGGGTTTCATCCTTTGACGTGAATTGCAGGTCTCTATATCAATTGCCTTATTCATAATGAGGTGAACGTTCTATAAGTCAACAACTGCTCCCCAATACCAAAATGCTCCATACGTTTCACACTCACTTATCTAAGTCTGGATCTCCTGAACATACATGAGGCACTGCAAATGAAAAGCCCACCATGAAACCCCATTTACATATGCTGGTGCTCACCCATGCAGCTAACACAAAACTTTGGAAACTAGAAATAAAGTCACATCTGCTGTCTGATCTTTGTACATACCCGGTGCTGTTCAGGTAGCTTTGGCCAAGGCTGCAGTCCTTCGACAAGGAGGACGGGTTATACCAGAAGGCGGGGAGACACTGGCCATTGCTGTGCCGCTCATAGCCATAATCGCTAAAAGAAGAACAGGGGAGAAGCACAGGTCATGCTTTGCTGTTAGAGTGCAGCAAATAATCACTGATATGTTACCAGTGTTAGTCACAATATTAGGTCAGAGATTGCAGAGGCCTCACAACAAGTGGCCATCACCTACGTATCTAGCCATGGCTGCATTAGATATCATGTGTTAGGCTTTAAAGTAAAGGATATGCTGGCAATGACAGCGTGGAACTTGGTCATGTTTATGGCTCCCCTGAATGTTCTACTGGCCAACTTTGTAGATGGACGTAATAAAGACCAGTCACTGCTGCTCTCTCTCCTTCTGCAGGGTGACTGGTCTTCTCTCCGCCCCGCCCTGTAATAAAGACCGCACACTGGTGCTCTCTCTCCTTGTGCAGGATGACTGGTCTTGTCTCCGCCCCGTCCTGTAATAAAGACCACTCATTGCTGCTCTCTCTTCTTGTGCAGGGTGACAGGTCTTGTCTCTGCCCCCTCCTGTATTAAATATATATATATATA